CTGCAATGCTTTATGGTGCTGAATGTTGGCCATTAAAAAAGAAGCATAATAATAAGTTAAGTGTGGCAAAGATGAGGATGCTCAGGTGGATGAGTGACTTTACCCTTAGAGATAGGATACAAAATGAGCATATACGTGAAAAGGTTGGAGTAGCTCCAGTAGAAGATAAGATTAGAGAGAGTCGCCTTAGATGGTTTGGTCACATAAAACGGCGGCCTTCCAATGACCTGGTTAGGAGAGTAGAGGTATTAGATTTGACTTATATTAAGAAAGGTTGAGGCAAACCTAAAAAGACTTGGTTAGAAAATATTAGGAATGACCTTTCTTTATTAGATTTAAATGAAAATTTGACCTTTAATAGGACACAATGGAGAAAAAGGATTTATGTAGCCGACCTCACGTAGTAGGATAAAGGCTTGATGTTGTTGTTGTTGTTGTTAAAACAGTAGTAGGCTTAATGGTGTTTGGCTTTGAAAAGTTGTTGGGTTTTAGGAAGTGAGGGGCCTTGAAGTGGGATATTCGGTGGAATAGGTGTTGTAGAAGTATTGGGGGATAAAAGGCAGAGTTCAGAGGGAGTTTGTGAAGTAGGCTAGCTATTGTTCACGTGATTGTAAGAAGTTCTCGTTGGCTTGTAGCTAAGAAGGGGAGCAAGTTCATGGGTGAATGTACTTGGGGGAATAGGCAGTTGGCTATAAGATCCAAATGTCTGAGAGCTGCAGGCCGGCGGATTCAGTGATAGAGAGGTTGGATTGGGTGTTTTAGCCTGTGAAGAAGAATTTCACGTGAAAGGAGGGCAGAGATGGATGAGTTCTTGTCTGGTTCAGTCGTGAGAGCTATGACGGCGTCGAGTGATTTATGGAGGTTGATCGGGTAGATTTCAAACAAGCAAGGTGTCAGGATATGCAGGTCAAACTCTGAGGAGGCATTCAAACGACAACAGCAACTTGAAGTGGGAAGGAAATCTGGTTGGGTGATTTGAGGGTGGATTAGAAGATAGGGCCGGTTGATCAGGTGTAAGCTTGGTTGTTGCGCTTTGGATAGAGGGAAGCTACCGTTGTTGGAGTCTAAGCCATTAGTAGGAGTTTCACGGCAGAGAGGGACTTTCTTGGGTGAAGGACCGACCAGGCGTAGAGGTCCGATTTGGTCTTTAGGGAGGAGATCAAGAGTCAAGGGCATCAAGCGAGTGTGCTCGATCCGGTCTAGGTGCCGTGAAACGTCGTTTAGAGGCAGCTTGTAGAGGCGTCGGACATTGCGGTGGGCTGAGGAACCTCGCAATGAAGCTTGGCATGTGAAGTCGAGGTCTTTGAATGGATCATAGAAGGGACGTCATCGTAGGAGGTCCGATCCGTAGGAGGTCCGTTGCTGGGGTGGTCAGAGGTAGCCATGTGGATCAAAAGTGCTGGTTCAATATAAAGGAGGCGGGCTGGAGAATTAGAGCTGTGAGGAGTGGGAGCTTGGGCAAGGAGACGAGGGATGTTTAGTGCTATGGCCTGGTGGAGAAAAAGAACTTGGATGAGAAGATTGTGATCGTGCTTAGAAAAAAGAATCAGAACGATTTGTTCTGTTCAATTTTAACGAAGAATGAACGAATTATATCGAGGCGAGCTGCTACTCATAAGATTTATGGGAGAAGACTGATTCAGAGCAGGAGGCAGTGATTTCACGAAATTTATGGGATTTACATGGAGATTTTAGAAGGATTTTCGGAGATTTGAGAAGTGTTTTGATGCCTACTAGTAATTAATATTTTATTTGATTTTTTATTAAATTAATAATAATATTAACAATAATTTGCTATTATTAATACTATTATTAATTTAAAATGATAGCAATGAGTCAAATTCCTAAAATGCCTCGATTTGCACGCGATTCCCTCTATTTGCGTGCGGAAATTTTGTTGGACGAATTTTACTATATTTGTGTATTGCTGATGTTCCGAACACAACGGCAAAGTCAATTTTGCAATCATAGGTCGTTTTGATGATGTCGCGCATCGATTTTCTTGAATCGCTCTTCATATCCTCAAAATGAGTGCAAATTTTACTATGCGATTTTAATTGGACAAACTAATAGACATTTTGGTATGGAAGACATTCTGAATGCAAAGACGATGTTCGTTTTACGATCGGACGTCATTTGGGCAACATCGTGCATTAGTTTCAAGTGTCAATAGTCCCTTTTGACCGATCTCATCCGATTTGATTGCGAGGGTTCCCTCCCTGATTACAACGGCACAGTCCATTTGGTAATCGGAGGTCATTTGTCCCTCCAAGTGACATGCCACACCGACGCGCGCTTTGCTTCAATCGCCGTTTTCGTCTCTCTTTGCATGCACAGAGGTCAACAATGTTGCACTCAACTAGAAATAATGAAAACTGAGAATTTTTAAAACTTGCAAGAGATAGTTGGAAAACTGCATAAAACCAGAAATAAAAAAAATAATTAAAAAAAAAAAACAGCAACAATTTCACAAGAAATGTCTCTGTTCATATAGACCTAATCCACACGCATAAAGAAACAAATTAAACAGTTATGGCATAAGAAATCCTACAGATTTAAGTGTAAAGCCTACAAAGATCATCTAGTACCTGTGTGACTGATGTAGAATGGAAGCCAATAGAGAAAAGTATAAGCAACCAATTTTGAGAAGAAAAGACAAAATGCAAATGGAGCAACTCCAGGTATCCCCCATGCCTCAATGAATCCCACTGCTTGGTCCTTAATCTTTTCTTCTTTTCCTTCAAGAAGAGGCTCATCATTTCCAGTCCTGCTAGGCATCAACAGTGCATCATTTTTATCTATTCCAACTGCCTCAGGACTCTCGGGCAAGAAAAGAAATACAGTCAGCCCAACGGCTGATATAAGAAGGCCAGGAACGGCAAAAGACCAGCCCCACCCATAAGTTAACAAAGCAGAAGCAATCAGGGAGCCAGAAATATTACCAACTGATGTATGTGCATTCCATATTCCCATGATCAACCCCCTCTTCCTCTTCCCAAACCACTTAACAACGACAGCTACAACTGAAGGCCATCCGGTAGATTGAAACAAACCAGCAAATATCTGAACTAACAAGTAATAGTAGAAGCTATGCACATTTAACCAGTAACCAACACCAAAAAGAGCAGTGAAAAAGCCAGTCCCGACCATTCCTATCGTAAGAAGCAATCGCAAATTCAAACGATCTCCTAAATGTCCAGCAAAAAACATGCCCAATGAGTATACTGAAAGGAAAGCAACGTCAATCACTCCAAGCATTTCTGTACCACTTGGACTGTTGAAAGGAGCCCAACCACTGGTCTGCAGTGGTTTCCAGTGTTGACTATAAAACAAGTGAATACTGTTAGGAATTGGCCATGGTATAAAGCCTGATTCTGCTTTCTTGGGATCAAGCACACTTTTAACGATGCTTGTGGTTTTTCTAGTGGCATGGTAACTAGCATATGAGAAAAATGTTAGAACGAGAACAAGTGTTTGGCATGTTCTGAAATTGAAGGTAGCATTCCAGATGGATACCAAAAAACAGAGACCAAAAGGTTTTCTGTATATTGCTTGGACTCCAAATTCACTTGACTGACACATGAAGTCAGATAAGAATTATCCCTCAAAAGAAAATGAAAAGGATAGGAGACAACTAGTGATTAATAGAAGTAATGAATTTGTTACGCTTCCATGTAGAGATGGATCATCTGTAAAAGAAAAATGGGTCATCGAACTGCATTCTTGAAAAACAAAAAACAAACAGGGAATTTATTTTATTTTTGTACCTTAAGATTCATATAGTTCTAAAAAACACATGGATAAACCTATTTACAAAACTTTAAAAAAACCAGTCAAATTTCTTATGGACATGAAAAAAATCATGTAATGATGTATTTCAATATGAAAAATTTGACTATAAATTGACAAGAAATGGCGTGCATTTATATGCAAAGCAAGAAAAAAGAATAGGCATTGTTTAATAAAGAGTGAAAGTCATAGTGTACACCTTTTTCATCTGAAATATATTTAAATGTTAAGAAATCGTCTAAAATAAATGAAAATTCGAACATTCAGCTAAGTTTTAAGAAACTTAAGACTTAGAATTAGTTAAACAAAGACCAATCATATGCAATTTTAGTGGTGTAATATTAATAATTATTAATGAATGTTGTAATAAAATAAATAATACCTAGGTGTAATAAGTCTATGTATCTTGAATTTATTATATAATAGCATAAGAATATAAATATGTAGCTAGGTCTGAGAAATAATAGTTGATCTGCAAGCATCCCATCTCAAGATTGAGTCTTGGAAGTTGGGGTGAGGTAGTCAACAAAGAAGTTCTTGAGTATTTTTTAATGGTTTCTATCAGCTTTAAATAAGAAGTAAATCTGTAGCTAGGTCTGAGAAAAAACAGTTTGACATCTTTCACGTTCCTTATCCATATACCCTATTGGAAGTTAGATTTTTATGGGAGGATTATAGACTTTATTAATGCATGCAAGAAGAAGGCTTCATAGTGAGGTAATCTAATTTGCAAGATTATTTTTAGGACTTCTTTGTTTGTAAAAGGGCGTACTTGGGATTTGGGAAAGATACTGAGTATTCCTTCTTTTGTGCATCCCTTTCAACATAATTAATATTGGATCAAATCAACTCTTATCTCCCATCAATGTATGATTAAAATTGAAGCCAAACAATAAAAATATAGGTATCTTCTATGTAATTTTCTCTTTATTTTGTGATTGTTTTGGGCATATCATTTTCAATACTGATGATGCTTGCATTTTAGCATACTTGGCACACTCATTAGAACAAACTAATATTTAAATGAAGTTTTAAGATTAATTACAATAAAGTTAAAAATCAAAAGGTTTGAAAGGCTAAAAAGTTTTGGCTTTTAGAAAACTAAGATGAATCAAGTGTTTCCCCAATAAGGTCTTATAAACTCATTCATAGGGTTTATAAACATGTCAATGATGATGATGAAGAAGACGAAAAGAAAAAGATAGAAGAAAAAATAAATCAAAAGATAAAGATAAAAAAAAAATAATTACAACAATCCAATTGTTTTGGATGACTAAGATCTTGACAGAGGTATATAAGCGGTCAATCATAGAAGCTTTATGCCTCAAGCAAGAGTCATTATTTAAGACTGAAAGCCACTCCAACAACCTCTATCAAAAGCAAATATTATATCTTCTTCACATGCAAGAAGTATGCTAATCAAGTCACGTTTCAACCAATCAGGTCCAATAACTCATGGTTAGAGAGAGATTAATATGATTGTTTATAATGAGGGTCAAATTTTATAAGTCTTATGCTCTTTATCATTCTATGATGCACTGACACTTCTCCTTAAAGAGACATGTAGTGTTATGCATGTATCCAACAAGACACACGTCTGAAACATGTCTGATTAAAAAAAAAATTTAAATACAAATTGGACATGCATGTCTTAAATATTTTATAAATTTTTTTAATATAATTTCTTATATTTAAATTTTTTACTTATTTAAAATATAAAAATTAATTTTCTTCTTTCTTCTTGACAATACCAAATCAATCGTCTGCACTCAATACCACATTTATGAAATATTCTCATTTTCATTTCTCTTTGGCGGGCCGCGACTTTGGTTTCACAATAATACTTGATGTCATCTCGACATCGACATTTGACAACTTTACAACTTCGACATTTCAAAACCATCTCAACATCAAAGTCTAACACTATCTTAACATTGATGCTTTCACTAACAATCTCTACATCGACAACTTGACAGCTCTCATCTTTGCACGATGTCATCATAACATCGACGCCCAACGCCCTCTCAACATTGACACTTGATACTTACTTCATAACATCAATGTCTAACTCTCGACAATATTGTCGTCTCCTCTCTTGATGATACACGACATTGACACCAGACTCTGAACATTTTTAACAACAAATTCAAGTTAAATGACTTATTATTTCTTTAATATTATACTTAATCAATTTTTATAATTTTTTTTTTTTAAATGTAAAATTATATTACCGTGTCCAACACGTGTCCATGTCTTATATTTTCAATAATTGATGTGTCCCGTGTCCGTGTCATATCTACATTGTCATGCCCGTGTCAGTGCATCATAATTATCATCCTTTCATAACACCATATTATATATAAAAAAAATATATCATAAGCTTAGAAGATATAAAGAAATCACTTTTGTTAAGAAAATATAACTTATAGGCTCAAAAGGGATAAAAAAGAAAAGTAATGAGAGTGATTACTCATGAGAGACCACTAGAGATAGAGTTCTATCTCTAATAGCATGTTGGTTGACAAGAATAAGGCTTGTTTCTATTATGAAAAGAAAAGATACATTAAGAGAGATTGTATAACAAAAAAGAAAAAGAAGCATTAAAGAGGTATTATGTCCTCTCCTTTTACCTTATAAGACCTCCTAATTTAAATCATTCCCTTAAACACCCAAATTTCTAATTTTAACACGGTTACCTAAGCTATATGATTGCCTTTCTAGGACCTAACCACTGCCAAAACTATAAAAGGGGGACGTCCCCACCACCCAAGATTAGTAGGTAAACTTAGCTCTCTTAAAAAACTAGGACGATATTCTTGACCTTGGCCAAAGACTTCATTTAGGACTAGTTCGACTAGAACCAAATCTAACACTCATTATCATTTGTAAAAAGCCCAAAGTTTAAACTTAAGCCCTACGTAAGAAAACAGGACCGACATTACAAATCTAAGACTTAAGTGAACCCTTCTTGGGCAAGCTGTTATTAGCATACATTCTTATATGATCTGACTAGTGCTAGATTGTTGTGGTCTCGAACCGATCCTTAGGGCATGGCATAATCTCTTCACTAGGTCGATAGCACCTATTCAACCAACTGATGTTATCACAATTAGTGCTTGATGTTGATTAATCGGTTACTAATATGATGCCAACTTGTTCGCCGCCATCCAACAAAAAAATCTTGTAGGTCAGTACTCCCTTTATCCTTGGTTGACACATTCATTGTTCAGAACTCTCCTAGGTTCGTCAATGACAAATTCCTTTTAGGAAACTATTGCCCTAGTACTAGCCAATTGTACTAGCTCCTTCATACTGATTTCTTATAAACCAACACAAGATGTCCTTGTCATCTCTTTCAATCAACTTTGGTGAATGCCTTACCACCCAGCACCATCTCTTTAGTCAGATTTTTCTAGCACCTTCCAACTTAGAGACATTTTCAAAATATCCAACCAAATAGCCCCTAGAAGAAATAAAGCAAGATGTTGAGCTTTTTGATTTCCTATAGTGGGATTGTAAGTCTTTCGTAAGTATCTTCTTGATGGTTGAAAGAATAGCCTTAGATATCCCTATTAGTTGCTTTAAACATAAGGGTAACACACCTTAGATGGTGTTGTAAGTCCCACTTTTAACCAAATCAAGATATATATAGTTTTGGGGTATTATTGGGTCAATCAAGCCGTTTTCAATTGGTTAATGAGGAAATGTAAGTCTCATTCATTGAGATAATTCTTGTTTGATTGACCTCTCATCGCTTAAGCTTCCTATTGTCACAACTTGTACATAAAATCCTTTGTGTATAATCAAGAACGTGAGTTGAATATTATTAATCATGAATATTCACGAATATTGTACCCATGATAAAATTAGCTATGGGGCTTGCACTCATGAAAAACCAAGAGCCCTGAGAACTAGATAAACTTCACTTGCTCCACCATATTAATTATGGGAAATATCTTCAATATATTTTTAATCTTCCATCATTTTAATTCCGTAAATCTATTAAAGATTCTATTACTTTTTTTCATCCTATTACTTTATTCTAACCAGGAAATATGAGGCTTCTTCAAAGTTGACAATCATTAGGATGATAAAAAAACAAATACAAATATAACTAATATAGATTCCTAAATTTCTTTTTTTTTTTTTTTTTGTGATTGTAGGTTACTTGGTGATAAAGAAGGCTATGAACTTAGCTTGTTCTTTCCATTTGTGTGATGATAGGTCATTGTTTTGAATGTGTGTGCATATAGGGAACAATGGTGTGTTGGATTCTAGTTCTTGGCACTATTAGCATTAGGATATATGAAGATGCATATAGGACATTAGTTGGGGTGAGATACTTACCAAATTTGAGAATAAACTTTATGTAGTTGGGTGCTCAAGCATTAACACAATGTATTAAAGGATTCATGTTATGACTATTCGGTATGTTTTACGTTGGCTGTCGACTACCTAACGCAACACTTCATTTTTCTCATCAAGGACTTGGGACCATAGCACTCTAAGTGAAAATAAAAATCTCTCTTTTTATCAGCGTATTAGTAAAATTGAAGTTAGAGAGGCTTTAAAGAAAATTAAGTGCGTAAAAACTAGCGGAACTAATGATATTCCTATAGAGATGTGAAAATGATTAGGAGATGAAAAAATTTCTTGCCTTACTAAACCTTTTAATATTATTTTGAAGACTAAAAAGATGCCAGATGAGTGGAGAATGAGTGTGTTGTTCCTATTTTAAAGAATAAAAGTGATGCACAAGATTGTACAAATTATAGAGGAATTAAGTTGATATGTCATACTTCAAAATTTTAGGAGAGAGTTATGGAGCATAGGTTACGACGTGATACTAATGTTTCTCAAAATCAATTTGGATTCATGTCGGGTAGGTATAATACGATAGCTATTCATTGATTGAGAGTGTTGATGGAGAAGTTTAGAAATAATGAGGATCTACATAAGATTTTTATTGATTTAGAGAATGTATATGATAAAGTTCCAAGATTTGTGCTATGAAGAGTTCTAGAAAAGAAAGAGGTTAATACTGCTTATATTCAAGTCATTAGGGATATGTATGTAGGCGTTGTTACTTGTATTCAAACACAATGTGTTTTGACTAAGTATTTACCTATTTCAGTTGGATTACATTAAGAATCAGCTTTAAACCCTTATCTTTTTTGCTTTAGTCATGGATGTTCTTACTAGACATTTGCAAGAGAAAGTACCCCAATGTATGATTTTTGCTGATGATATTCTTCTTATTGATAACACTAGAGAGAGAGTTGACTGTAAACTCAAATTATGAAGGTCAAGTTTAGAGCCTAAAGGTTTTCGTTTTAGTAGATCTAAAATCAAATACATGAAGTGTAATTTTATTAGTAATAGAACTAGTGGGGGTTTGTGACTTTGAGCAATCAAGTTATTAATAAGTGTACTCGTTTTAGATATCTTAAGTTTATTGTTCAGAGTGATGGTGAAATATATGAGGATATTATTAGTAGAATTCAAGTTGGATGGTTGAAGTGGAGAAATGCTTCGGGTTTGTTTTGTGATAGAAAAGTGCCACTCAAACTGAAGTGAATATTTTATAAGATAGTGATAAGACCTGCAATGCTTTATGGCGCAGAATGTTGGTCATTAAAACAAAAGCATAATATTAAGTTAAGTGTTGATGAGATGAGGATGCTCAGGTTGATGAGTGGATTTATTCTTATAGATAGTACGAAATGAGAAAATCTGTGAAAATGTTGGAGTAGCTCCAGTGATAGATAAGATTAGAGAGAATTCCTTTAGATTTGGTCATGTAAAATGGCAGCCTTCTGATAACCCTATTAGGAGAGTGGATGTATTATATTTGGGTATGTTAAGAAAGGTAGAGGTTAAAAAGACTTGGTTAGAAAATATTAGAAATGACCTTTCTCTATTAGATTTAAATGAGAATTTGACTCTTAACATGACACAGTGGAGAAAAAAGATTCATGTGACCGACCCCATGTAGTGGGATAAAGGCTTAATGTTGTTGATGTTGTTGTTGTTGTGGGTGCTCAAGCGATATAAGGTACAATTTTTTCATGAATATTGAGTTTTTCATGGTTTAAGGAACTCTTTAATTGTCATGAGAGCAAACAGATTTAGAGGGTTGTATGAGTTACAGGATGCAACTTCATGGGTTAGTTTAAGGATTTCAACAATGTTGGAGCATCACATTCTAAAGTAACAAAATAGAATTAGCTTTCAAGTCATAGGAAAAGTTACAAAATAAGTTCAGTCACAAGATAATGCGATCCATTCATGTGATTGGATGGATCAAATTTAAGCGGCATAAGTTGTCTGAATGCCAAATGGTTTGTCTTGATATTAGATCATATCATTACAACATAAATGATCACTTTAGGGGGAAAGAATTCAATGGTTGGTTCATGCTAAGGTTTATTTATGCCATGTAAGGTTGAAATATTTTTCCAAAGTTAATCTCTAATAGGTATTCAGATCATGCAACATTTGGACATTAGAATACTGCAATATGCATGGCCTTCAGGGCTTGCAAGCATATAATGCTAAGCTTTGAAAATAGATATGTTGGAGATCCAATTTGGATATAATATTAAAACAAGAGAGAGAATATCCATTATTTTAACTTAGTCTCAATTTTTAAACCGAACACTTGGAATTCATCCGCACCTAAACATATAAATTTTCTTATGGATCAATGATATGACACCTTCTATCTATCTATCTATCTATCTACATCCAGTCTGTGGATTTTTTTCCAAGGCATCAATGTAAGGAAGCAAGCAATGAACAACATCTCTATTTTTTTTAATTAGTTTCCATTAGCTCCATAAGAAGTCAGTCAATGCTACATTTTTCATAACAAGACATTCGATATCTCTTTTGCTCCTCATCAATATATCCACTCATAAGCTAGGCTTTCATTGAAAGATTGAAGTCATTGCAGTGAGATTATTTGGTTTGAGAAATTATTTTTAGGACTTGTTTGTTTGTGAGAGAGTGGACTTGGTATTTGAAGAGAGCAGTGAGTGTTTCTTCTTTGTGTAGATAGGTGGATGGGTATACGGATATGTATATGCATGTGTGCATGCATGACCTAAATGAAAAATAATATTACCATCTTATCGTCTTAAATTCATACAAAAAATTGCAAGCCTATAATCATTTATGCAAATATGGGGAATTTATGCCATGCTTTTAATATCAAAAGTCAAATAATTCAATTAAAGTAAAAAAAAATGACTTGAGAATATTATACCAAAAATATTATCAAATTTCAATGTCACTACCTTAAAAATGATTTGAAAAAAACTTTATTAATTTCAACACATCTTCAGTGAACACTATTTTTTTGGTGCAGTTTGAACTTGTGTCCTCTTCTAATTTTGAGAATTAAAAATTCTGGAAAGAGTGTGAAAGCATCAAACTCATTCAAAATAAGATATTTTATCTCTCTTTCTAAATTTCTAAATTTTGATCATTTTTAGCACAACAATTTTTTTTTTATCTTTCATCATTACCTGCACTAGAAATTATATAGATATTTTTCATTGAACATTCCATATACAATAGCACTCATTCAGCTAAATTGACGCATACGTTCAATGAAAACATGAACTCAAAGTATCAAAAATAAAACATAGCATTATAAGCTAAAATCAACAAGTCATTATTATCTAACCGCCCAATTCACAAATGACAAGACAAAATTAAAAACAAGATAAATTTCGACAGCAGTACTTCCGAATAATCACATTTCTAACAAAAATAAAATCACAAATTCCCACATAAAAAACCTAGCAAAACTAAGATCGCATTTTTCTCCTTACAAGGTGTCTAATTAATTATTCGTTATGGATCTTCCATCAATAAGCCATGAAACGATAGCTCATAAAAACTAAGCCTAATCTTGAAGCTAAAAAAACGAATAACAAGCAACCGCTCTATTGCAAGAAAATGTATAGAAACCAATCCAAGCATGAAAAGGAGAACAGAAAAACAAAACCTAATTTATCACCTTCGAATAGGGTATTACAGATTTCCAATCTTTCTCATCAAATCTCTCCGACCTCTATCTAAGTAGTCCTTTAGTGCTTTAAAGTATTCGAAGAGCAGAAGGAAGAAAGGAAGAAAGGAAGAACAGAATCCTACGCAACGGTGTGGAAGTGGGAAATTTTTAATTTTTAATTTGAAGGGATAATTAATAATCGTTTAAAATACTCTGAAGCATTTTAGAATTTAGGCATTCGTATTCGTCATAATTGCAATGTTGCCATCACTGCATGGATTGGCATCAAGTTTTCACTTTTCAGTACACCACGTGGAAGCTTAACCGTCCAATTGTCTAAATATGTCGATTTCTCACTGTGTGGCCCAGAATCAGGATTCGATATGAACTATTACAAAAAATATTAAAAATATATAATTATTTTATTAAATAAGTCATTTTCATTTTAAGAAGCTATCTCTATTTATTTTCATATTAATTTCACAAGTTGTAAGGTGAATCTATCTCATGCGCAAGAGCAATCAAGGTTTCAGTTTATTCGACAATATTTTAAATAAGTATATATAAATTAATTTATTATTTATTATGGTAAAAATTAAAATTTTATTTTAAAACATCAAATAGCCATGTTTTATTACTATATATCTTCAATATAAATGAAAAATGGAAATTTAGATGGAGACATTGGCCCCCTCATATCTCTCTTAAATATGTTATTGGGGTCACATAATGATAACTAAAAGTTTATGAAATTTTACTTAAGAGCTAAGTTGATTTATTTTAATTAAAAAGTATGATTTCAAAATTAAAAATTGTGTATGTTTTTATATTTCAGCATGGGTTTCAATCTTCATAAATTAAATTTTATTTTTTACATTCAAAAAGAAAAATTTTAATAAAAAACTACAATTACCTTTATTTAAATATGATTTAAAATTAATATTAATTTTTTTCTAACAATCAAATACATTCAATTGATTTTAAAAAAAGTATATTCGGAATTATATTGCACATTTTATATATTTATATGCATATGAGGCAAATCTTATGTATTGACATATCTATTAACTAAACCATGATATTTACGTACATAATATTCAAATCTCAAATCACATAAAAAATATCACTAATGTTAATTTTATTTTAAGTAAACTACATATTTTTATATGATTGAGATGCTAAAATGTTATATTAGTAAATCTAAAAATTTGGGTGTTAAATGTATGTGTGTGTGTCTGTGTGAGTGGTATGTATGTAAATACCCCTTTGCATTTAATATGAAGTTTGACTTGAATCAAATGAATAGAGTCCAATATCCCATAGGCGGGGGGTAAGGGGGGGGGGGGGCACGTGCCCCCCCTAAATTTTTTTTTTTTTTTTTTTTATTCTCTTGGCTGCATGTGTTAAGAGTTTAAAGAAAATAAATATTTATCACTTTAATAGGATCGATTCATAGTAGATTTAGTTTCGTTTCAAGTTGCATATGGAGTAGAGAGTGTTGGAAACAATTTGAAACCTAGATAGCTTTGATATATTGGATAAACTTCTCGTCTCTTAGGAAGAAAATGAACATTCTCCACTCATCTAAATATTTTTGATGGCTTCAAAAATAAGATCAAGAGCACTATTATGTTGTGCAATGTGAAAACTAGTCGCATAGATAATTTTTTTTATAAGAAAAGTAAGAGATTGAGGCATAATTATTTAGTCACCATTTTTACTACATTTAGTATATACATTTTAATTGAATTTTTCTATTTTTGTACTCATTTTAAAGCAAATTTTAGTATGGATGATCAGTTTACATAAAAAAAATTAACATTCTTTTTATAAAAAAATAAGACTTAAAAATTCCCTAATTTAGCATGCAAGAATATGCTTTAGGTTTTGTTCGGAATAATAATCATAATAATTTTCACAATAACTTTCTTATAAAAATGTTTACTCTGACAACAATATCAAATCACATGCCCAAACGGAGACTGCTCAAAAATGGCTTTTTTTCCCTCGACCCAAACTGCCTGTTTCGTTTTCTCCTTTGCTCCTCTCTAGCAACTCACAACCTCGAGCACGATTTTTGTTTTCCATTTCGGTCCTCTTTCGTTATGTTATTTGCATTCTTAATTTTGATCTTAGAGCTCCTCTTGGCTCTAGTAATGAGACGACAAAGGAAACTATATTAATTTATTAATCTGAAATTTCATATGAGATGGCAGACCGTTAGAAAATTGACCATGGAAAATTGACTGTCTGAAAACTGCGAAAAATTGACCGCTGTAAAATTCTACCTTTAATAGATGATTTTCCTGTAGTGTTTAATTTAGGCCCCCCTGAATAAAATTTCTGGCTCCGCCACTGCAATATCCTATATATCAAATCAAATTGCCCCTCTTCTAGGAAGAAAGGGGGATAGGGCAACCTTCAAGCAATCAAGATGAATAGATGAGACAATCATAGGAAATCAATTAGGTTGTTGTTAGAACTTTAAAATTCCATATGATACAAATATCTCACCATGATTTCTAATTTTTTTAAAAAAATAATTTATAAATTTGTGAAGGATTATTTTGGCCTTTTTTATTAAAATCTATCAAATTTATGAACATATCAAAGGCCCACATCACGCCCTCCCGTACCACAAAAAGTGGCGAATTAATCCTACTAATGAATTGGCTAGGCCTAAAGTTGTCATGTGATTTATTGATGATATTATTGATAGGTGAGTTAATGGTATCATTTTAAAGCTCATAACACTATGAGTCGAATATGCCTAATACATCAAACTTTTTTTATGATTTGATTGACAAAAATAATTTCAATGATATTTGTAAATTAGATTTAGAGCCTCTCAAAAATGAAGAAGACAAACCATGTTATTAATATAAAAATATTCATCTTCTTAAGAGCAATCCAATATCATAAATGCACATGAATCATAGTCGTACAAAGTCATAGTAATTCCTAAAATATGTTAATATCATATCTAAGCTCTCCAAAACATTTATGTGATAGTTTCCATTTTTATGCCAAAAATTAATCTCATTAAGAGAAAGTCAATATTATAAATGCAAGCAATTAGAGGTTTGTATAAGCTATTAGAACTCTAAGAAGTTTAATTCTTAGTGAGCTAATATTTTGAAATTGTGTGAATTATGGGATTGTACTTCATGATCCAAAGCCAAGGGGAGATTTTTACGGTGAGAGGGTGTTAGAGTTGATTGTTTACAGGTGACCTGAGAGGAGGGTGAGTTGGAAATCTTATGAAAATCATAAGGCTCTTCATATTCTTTTTTATAGATAAATATTGAGCTTGTTAAAATAATACTCTACAAGAGATCATAATAACATAAGGAAATAAAGTAAAGTACAATAATCACAATCAAAGACATGGCCAATTCTTTGTAGCTCAATTTGTAAGCCTACATCCATGCCTAGGTTAAAATAATCACTTAAGATTCATGTAAAATAGAACATTGTTAACACCCCTTCACTCCATTCAAGCAAAAAAGTCCTTAAACCTCTCTTCTTTCAAGAGTATAATACCATTTTCCTTAATTTTCACACACACACACACACACACATTAAGAATAATATCTCACATGTGTCTTGGATTGCATAAAGATTTCAAGCATAATGAATAAAAGATCAAATATGGAGACAAAATGGCATTACACTCCTTTTATTTTCTTTTGCCTTTCTTCTCAAATAATGGTTGTTATTATCTCATCCATTCATGTTTGTTAAATCATATATCCAAATCCTTTTGATCAAACTAGATCAGTCTAGGATCATGCCTAAGCTAGTCAAGTTACCCAAGATGTTAGGTCGAATCCTAGTTGACTATATTAGACCATAGGATAACTCCACATACCTCTACATGCCTAAGAAACTTTAGCTTGAGTCTGACTAATCTAGGTGACCTAAACCTATCAATTGAACTAAAAGAACCTAAAGTATATTTAACCTCTTAAACCTGTCTAAACCCTAAAACATACTTTGGTTGACATAAGGACTGAAGCAAAAACCTGATCAACATCCTGCATATATAGTATACTACATCACATGACATTTTCTTATTAGATTTGAACCTTTCCCTGAACTCTCACCTTAGGAGCTTCATACATTGAACTCATCAACCCTAGCTCCCCAATCTTGGGTTTGACTCAGTCAACCTACTTGAGCAAGGTCAAACTGCCTCAATAGGTCAATTTTTTGCATAAACCCCTTAAAGATGATAGCACTTCATTGAACCTCATCCAATCAAACTTATCAAAACTCCTTAAGTGTTACATTCATTTGGTTTAATCCCAATAACGACTTGGTTAACTCATCCCAAAATTGGTCAAACAAACTTAGTTTGGGTCAAACCCCTACATATAAGAAATTAGCCCATCCTTATTGCTCAAGTATAGGCCACTTGATCTCCCAAACACACCTAAGCCATGACCTAATCCATTCATGTTGAATTGATTTGATCAACTCATAAGAAATGGTCAAACCAAGTCATACTTGGTCTTATGTTTATATATATTAAATCTATTAAACTTAAACCCCTAACCTGATTCAATTGACTTCTAGAGACTCCATAGGGTCTATCCTAGGTGGCTTGACAAGGGTTAACTAATCAAACACCTTGAATGGTCAAGGGATACTTAAATGGTCAAACTCCATAAAACCTTTAAAATTACTCAACTCCATCTAGTTTGCTTTGTTGGAATGAGTCCCTAGAAGCTTCCCAATTCTATTCAAACCCAACCCATTACTTGGTGTAGCCTAAACCTGATCTAATGGTCCCCATAATTAAAAATGACCCTAAGATCCTTTTAGCCTTGTTGATCACTCCCCAGCCCTAGGCTTTTCTCCCTACATGTTTAATTCACATGGAAAAAATCTAGGGGTCCCTGATCAATCTCAACCATTGTTATTATTATGATTGTTTACTGGATGGTTTTTTGGGTGGTTTATTTGTGATATTTAGGTTTTTGATTTGGTTTTGCCCTATATCAATTTTCTAGATTGGTTTCACCTTATATCCTTTGGCTCTTAGGTAGGGGTATAAGTGAGCCAAGCTGGCTCATAAGCCTACTTGAACTCAACTCATTTATGGGCTTGCAATCCAAGCTTATTAAGCTTACGTGTAAAGATGAGCTCAAACT